CAAAATTTTTTAGAAAGCCTCCACACGCCTATAAATATAACCAACGCGACGCGCCAGAAAGGAGTATCTATTATTAGTTTGCTATAGTCAGTGTGCTGTAAACTTTTGAAGCTATAACTGTGATTGTTATTGCACTTATCAATCGGAAAACTTCAGATATTTCACCAGGATCCTTTACAAAGTTCGAACATTACAAATCATTTAACTTCAGTGGCTTCTCATCGGACATCAGTATTTTTACGAAAATATTATATAACTTCATCGTGGAAAACTCAGCGTGTGTGGCTCGTGAATAAGCTAACTAGCTTCCCGGCGAATCGTACCTACATCCACTCGTAATTAACTCGTTCATCGTGAACCCTCGATAAAATATCAAGGGAGTTACTGACTAGAAAGAATATTTTATATTGCTTGTAAGTTTGTGAAAGTTTTGTTTATAAATCATTATCTGTAATAACCATTTGTAATACCTGTTATTGTAAATTGTATTGTTGTGCATACATTAAAACGTATTTGTGTTAAAAAGACAACTGTGTGTATCAATCTTGTTGGCAAATATAAACTGGCTATCTATCGGCTTTTACTTAATTGCTAAATTCAAAGTACAATTTAACTATTAGATTCTAATTTATCAGTTAACTCAATTTCAGGCTATTTGAAATTGCAATACGTAACATGACATATAAAACCAGTAATGTAGCTCTAAAGCAACAAACAGTAACAGAATATTATTGTTATATCAAAAGTGTACTAATAAGTAAATAGCAACGAAATGGATAAGATTTTGAAAAACCCATACAAACAATGCAGAAGAACAGTACATTCAAACAGTAGGTATTATTAAACTAGTTTGGTTACCGGAATTTTTGGAATATTTTTGTTGTTGTTTTAATACTCATTGATTCGAGAACAGCATTAGTCTGGTGATTATAGATCCATCAGGGTAGAAAATACATTGCTTTGTCAACCTGACACAGTTTCCTTTACAAACTATCAGAACTGGAAACCTTCTTAAAAAGTAAACACCGTGAACATTAAAGGACGTCATAACCCTATGACCTATGCTAGGAATAACAAAATTGATGAAGTTTTATAAAGTAGGAGTTTCCAAACTAGGGGCTGAGGACCCTTGAGGGCCTAAAAAAGTATCAGGCTAGTCGAGGCAAATACGTGAAATATACAGTACTGTTAATCTATAGACTCATTGAGGGGGTTCACAGTCAGGATGAAGAATGTTTTAAGGAAAGTCTTCTGCTGAGAATGCTTGGGAATC